GGCTGCGTCCTGAGCTGCGCCCCCGGAACCCGGGCGGCTCGCGGAGGCTTCGGGACCATAGTGAGTCACGAGCTGCGCAGCCATGTTGGGTGAGGGCAGCCTGGCAGCGGCATTACCCGGGGCGTGAATAGCTTCACTTGGGCGGCGAGAATGCAGGCTGGCGGCCATCTTGCTTTGGGGCAAGCTGGCAACGCAAGGGTTTCTGGACGGACGGCGGCTTCGGGGCCGCGGTAAGGGGCGAGAGAGGGTAATACGCCCGAGTGTGGAAACGCTGGCGGCGCCGCAGCTGCCCGGTGGAGACTTCAAGACCCACTGAAAGACGGACTGGGGGCCGTGACGCATAAGGGCGAAATATTACGGGGTCTGATTGCCTGCGAACTTGGGGAAAGGTTCGTGATCTGGACTTGACCTTTGCTCTGAGCTTCCTGGTAACCCGGACGTTCAGTAACCCTGGGTCCTGAGCATAACGCGCTGCCCAGATGCCCTCTCGGATTTCACTCAGCATTTGCTCTTTGAGCACCCGCTTCCTGAGGGAAGCGTCGTCTGAGCTGAATTCTGGACCGTTAGGAACTGGGGCGGAGGGCCGGGACGTTCTGGAGCTGCCAGCAGCCTGGTGTGGTTAAAAGAGGTGATGAGGTCTGTGAGATGTGGGAGACCAGACGACACAAGGCCTTGTAAGTTAGTTGATTTTATCCTAAGAGCAATGAGTAGGCTTTGAAGATTCTTAGTGGAAATGTGAACGGTGATATTTGCATTTTAGAAAGATCACTGGTTGCAGTGGGGAGAGTGGACTGGAGGGGACGAAGCCAGAAGCCAGGAGAACAACTGGGAGGCGGCAGTGGTCTCTCCCATAGAAGGGAAAAAATAGATTGGAGATGGTCGTGAGGCAGAGGGAGAAATCCAATATATTGTGCAGTGTTCTGACTTGGGCAGTTGGGGAATGATGATGACATTTTTTGTTTTGGTGGAGAGAATGAGTTTCAGGAGCCTGTGAGTTATCCATTAGACAATGGAATATCAGGTAATATGGGCTAGGAACCCAAAGAAGGGTTTGGGGGATGGATGTGCTCGTGTGCATGTGAATATCGATGGTTATTGAAGCCACGGAAGTGAATAAGACGGTCTAGAGAGGAAAACCTGCATTTAAGGGATGAGATGAGGGAGGGAAGCCGAAAAGAGGACACTGAGGGGGGCGAAGAGAAAGGAAAGAAGGAAACCAGGAGAGAAGCATCAAGGAGATGTCAGATAAGATGCTGACTGAAATGTGCCCATTGGATTTCGCAACAAAGAAGTCATTTAGTGATTTGGGAGACAGCCGTTTCAGGGATGTGAATCAGAAACCAGAGCGAGGTAAACTGAGTGACTGGAAAGGCACAGTGCATAAAATCTAAGAACAGTGTTTTCATGGTGTTGACTGTAGAAAGACTAGCAGTAGGATGTAGCATAAGGGAGAATTCTGAAGAAAGAGAAGCAGTTTTAGGAGACTGGGGGACAGCCAGGTGGAAATGGTAGCTGAATATACAGATCTAAACACAGGAGAAATATATGAAAAGAAAGGAAAGGAAGTACAGAGCAGTACATATGGCACGTGTACACGAGCATTAAAAAATTAACCAGGAAGAGTGGGCCTGGGAGGGATAAAACACTTTTTTATTTTGGCTCCAACTTACACTGTTTAAATTTATTTTACTGTATACATATATTGCTTTCATAGAAAACTATTTCTTGAAAACTCCACTGATGCATAGGCTAGAAATTCTGAATCAAGAACATTTCAGTGCTTGTTGCAGCCATAGATTTGGATAAGCTCCCCAGAGAACAGAAGAGGACTAAGAAAAGTGCTCTGGGGAATTCCATCACTTAAGGCACAAATAGAAGAGCCTTTGGAGAATCTTTGAAAAGGAACAGCCAATGAAGAAGAATAAAAACTAGGTGATGGTTGTCACAGAATCAAAAGAAAGTGTTTCAAGAATATGGAAGTCGTTAAAAGTGTCAGGTGTCCCCAGAGGCAGCTAACAGGAAGGGTGCTTTTAGCTCCAGATCCTAGGCATAAAGGTCAAAACTTTCCTCCAAGCATCCTGTGGAATCCGACATCCATGCTGTTCCGCCCTTATGCGTCATGGCCTCAAGTCCGTCTTTTAGGGGGTTTTGAAGTCAGCAGCAGCCGGCTCAGGCACCACCAATGTTGCCGCACTTGAGAATGCTCCCCTCTTCCATCCCTTATCTCGTCCCTAAACCTGCCGTCAAGAAAAACCTGTGTTGCCAGAAATGGCAAAGTTAAGAAATTGAAAGTAGGAGTATAAGTTGGAGTTGAGAAGGTGAAAAACTAACTAGGGATCACATGGATTTTCCTAAAACCGTGCAGAATGATAGGGAGAGTTGGCACAGAGAGGGCTGTTCAGTAGGTGCTGAAATCCTCCATGAGCATGAACGCTAAAGGTAGCAGAGCCAAATGGCGCGAGCTGCACAGAGGGAAGAGTTTTTGGAAGAAGATGGACGTGCACTTGTCTGAAAGCAGCAAAGGAGAGCAAGAGGAGGGCTGATTCCCAGCCACCGTTTCCTACCTTTGAGGGTTGAAGGTCGTTCATTAGAAAAAGCATCAAATTTCTACTGCACCTATTTCCCCCCCACACACCCCCTGGCTGTTTGTAAACAGCCTCCCCTATATCACATTTTCTTCACAGATTGTTCCTCAGCTCTTCCTAGAGGGAGAGTCATTGAGACGGAAGTAGCTGTGTCGTATGGCTTTTTTGCCCCACAAAAGCCACAAAAAGGGCAGACACAGGTACTCCTTAAACTAGAATCGTGTTCTCTCCATATCCCTATCCCGAAGTGCTCGACGACTAGCAGTCTTGGACTCTGGTCGTAATTCTCTTCCATGACCACCCCTCTCCTCTCCAAGCCTCAGCCAACCCCACTTAGAGGCTCACGGGGAGTAGGGGGCGGGGTCATGCCGAGGACCGCCTTCTCCGGCAGCACAGTGTCCAGTCCATTCGTGGTAGCCTGGGGATGACAAGTTGCCTTCTTCATGGAAAGCAAAGGAAGGGCTGGGAATTGTCTTCGCTGGCCTTCCAAAGTAACCCCTCTTCCTTTACAGGACTTAAGGGCTCAATTCTTTTCCCTGGGGCCAAAGCTCAACAAAGTTTTACAAATTCCAGACATTGGGACAGTTGTGTGTTCCTAAGCTAGTCCATTCATTCATGGCTGCATCAGTAGGAATGTTTTCTTGGCAGGGGGGTGAGGGGGGAGCGGGGTGCAGAAGTTCGCTTTTGACATGGAATCTTGAGATGTTAATAGGCGCTGAAGAGGTCATGATGCCAACAGAGAGAGCCAAGCAGATGGCCGGAAGGCGGTGGCGGGTGCAGAGAGACGGGCACTCCGGTGGGCTCGCTTCCGTGCTTCAACTAAAAACTTGAGAAACTCCACTGAGAAGACTGAGCAGCTGTGCGGGCTTCGCTTGCTACTCAGTCCTCTGCTTTTCCCACCCCTTCCTTCACATCGGTTCCTGTCTCTCCCTTGGAGTCTCAGCTCTCAGAGACTGGCTCCTTCAGCTTGACCCTGATTCCCAACCTTTTCTGCTTCTCAACACACTCTCATCCCACAATTCTCTCTCTCTGCCAGAATCTTTAAGCTGACATCCCTCAACCTTTCACTCCTGTTTCTACTACGTCCCATGAAATGTTTCTCAATTCACCGTAATTCTCAGTGATTAGAAAGCCCTTTTTTCTGTACTTAGAAAATCTACTTCTTTGTAACTGCCACTTATCGGCCCTATTTTTTCTCTCTGGATCAACACATTGTAGCTACATCAGCCCTTCAGATAGCTGCCGCGCTCCTCCTACATGTCAGTGGTAGTGGCCGTGTGAAGTACAGCAGGTCTCTTTCTTGATCTAAATACACTATTAAGGCTGCTCGTCCCAGTCGTGCTGTTCCCCTGACATTCCCTCAAAGAAGCCCATACCCTGTAGAAACCCATTGTCACAAGGATCCTCTTAACTCTCCCATGCTCATCACTCACTCTGATCCCTGTGACCCTGCCTGGGCTTTCCTCCTTGTGCTATGGTGACTTGCCGACCTTACAGTCCTCTCTCGTCCTTTGTTCCCCATTAAGGCCAGGCCGCTCCAGTTACTCATTTTCACCCAGGCATGGTACTGGCTGCTAAGTTTAGTGGAGCTCTGACCTAGCTGTAAGCCCTTAGCTAGAAATCCAGTGTCTCCTGGTTTCG